CGCTTTTCATTAGTATTAGGTTAAAAATTAACGTCTTTTTAAACGTTTATTTGCATATAATAAAAAGAAAATGTGTTTAGTTTAGTGTAAGATCGAAATATATTTCACTCGTGTCTGCGCCACTCTTGAAATATACCTTTTGTTGCTCACTCGGTGAAATATATCCCGATCTTAGTTGTTCACTCAGCAATATTTTGTAATGTCTGTCGTCCCCGATTTGAAGCGTTTAATAAGATTTATTGTAAATGTTAGACGGTAAAAACAAATATTAAATACAAAATGTCACAAAGCAAAAAAGGTGGGGGAAGGTAAAGCCATCAAATAGAATTAGGTCATGTAACATGCAATAACACACAAAGGTGCTTATGGCATGGATTTGACCTAAAATGTGTTGGACCTTGTTATTTATGCAATAAAATATCCATATATTTAAAAAAAATGCCACAAGCACCTTTGATAACACATAACTCTAGATATTGCATTATTTTGCAAAATATTGTAAATATACAGAAGAGTATCTCAAAATACCAGAGTTTGATGACCATCTTGGCCATTTTGAATTTTGGCCGCCATTTTGATTTTTAATCTTGGGTCTCGATCCTAAACAGCTAGACAGACATCTGAGGGCGACTTATACTGGGTCTCGACAATTTTGACGTTAAGCTATTACATTTTCCCTGACAAATTGTTGTTTATTATCAGAAAACCTTTTTACTTTTCAGACAGATTCATATTGGCAATTGAAAAAAGATACCAAGCATCGAAAGTTAAACTTGAGGAATGTTCTGTTCTGTAACATTTGCTGAATCTATGTATCATAATGTAATTCTTAAATCTCTATTTCATCGATATAAAAATTAAAAATAAAAAAAAATAGGTAACCACCATTATTTGGCTACAATATCATTCGAAATTCTTCTGTGAAAAACTCGACTTCTGCATGTCGACTATCCGCCAGTACCAGTCCGTGATCAGTCAGTCAAGCCCGTCCGAAAGATATGATCATTAATTGTGGCAGCAACCTCTTTTGAAGACGTACGTGATTAGAAGCATTCAATGAATTATTACAGATCACCTTTTTGGCAGATTATAACATGAAAGGACATAAATAATGACATGTCCGGGATCTGTAAGGTAGGATGAACCCTTCTTAATGCATTCATGAATACGTCGTTTAAAGGAACTCCTCTGTGATCGCAAAGCCAAAGTACATAAAATTTGAATTTCTTCAATAAATCATCTAATCAAATTTTGACATTAAAACAGACAAATATGCAAAATATAATTAAGAAAAATACTCAGGAACAACATTTTATGGTACACTTGGTCCGGTTTTAGTCTTTTTTTTTCAGTTTAATTAAGTAATTTTCTCTGGAAAAAACGGAGTAAGTGGATGCACACGAATAATTTCTCTATACTTACATCAGTTGAAACATTTCTCAAAATGTCTCGTTGTGTCAAAAAAAAAGTGGAGTCCCTTCATTTAAACGTAGCTTCTGATCAAACGTAGTCAATGTCTACCAAAAGTAGGTCAACGACTAAAAGACGCTAAAAATGGAAAACTAAACGTCTGAAAATTATGTCGCTCTTTTTGGCTGTTTAAAACGTTGTTTCATTTTTCTAATAAGCGTCTTACTTTGATAATATTATTGGAATAACAATAAGCTCGATAGTCCTCTCATTAAAGGGGAAAATCTGTACATGTATGCTATAGTTTGCAGGATAATTGCAATGCAACCTGCTCAGGCGTGTTGTTAGCTCTGAAACAAATCTGTTGGCAAACTTCAACGGTACTTTTTGCTTTGAAGGTAAATGCTGAAGGGTTTGGGTAGATTACATCGGATTCGGCCTTTAACAACGCGTGTAGCATGCGAATACATGTATTTATAAAATTTGAGCATCAAAAAGGTTGTCTCAGCAGAACCAATACAAGAATAAAATAAAATGTAGATATGAGTCTATATCAAATTTAAGACAGCCATTTTAAAGCAGCATACCACCAGATGAGCAAAAGAACTTTTTATAAAATAAAACTTGAGAAAGATGTACTAAGATTTTAGAAAAAGTTAAAAGATTCAATATTCAAGTTATAATTTACATGTTAAGTGCAATTAATGATTGATTTTTCAGTAATTATAACTATATTTCTATTGCGTAACTTAAACAGTGAAGGCTATTTTTTCATATTTTTTATCTCTTTTTGGTAATTTACGTGGGTTGTAAGTGTCATTGATAATGTGTAAATTGCTTCCTTTTGGTTTCTTCACAATATTATACATTTAAATACATTTTCAATTTTTTAATGAAGCTTAGCATGAATCTGGAGGCTTGCTACTTTAACAATAAAAGTCAGTTTGATAAATGTCCGATTAAAATAAGTGCACGAAAATTTCGACCATTATACAAGCTGTCTGACAAAATTTTTAGTTCCCTTTACTATGCTGGCTTATTTGTACCATTCGTATTTTCGCCCCGCGACCCCGGCCCGCCAAGCGAAAAAGTTAAGATGGCGGGGGCTTGGAGCGAAAACACGCTAATTAGCAAGGGCGCGGAGCGAAGTGAAAGAAATAAAATTTTGCTCTGCGGGGGCGCGGAGCGCGATTGAAGTTGGAGCGCGATTGAAGAAATAAAACGGCGGGGTCGCGGAACGAAAACACGCAGGGGCGCTAATCAGCGTGTGTTCGCTCCGCGGCCCGCCGTTTTATTTCTTAAACTTCACCCGCGCCCTCGCTAATTAGCGTGTTTTCGCTCCGCGCCCCCACCATTTTAACTTGTTAATTCTCGACTTTTCGCTTGGCGGGGACGCGGGGCGAAAACACGAATGGCACAAATCAGCCACCATACTTTACTGCGTTTTCTTATTTAAACAATATGGTTTTATTCATTGTTGAACTTTAAAATAATTAAGAGCGGTATGATAAAAGGAATAACACATAGTACCTCAGACCCTTTTGTTTCAATTTAGATTACTAAATATGAAAAAGTCCCCCCCCCCCTTGTTTCCTTAAACAGAGGACTTTTGTTTGCGCTGTTTGATTATTGAACTCTTAGTCTCATATATTTTCGTAAATCTGACATAAATGAAAATTAATTCACGTTTAATAAATCAATCAATGCACTTAAAATTGAAACCATGCAAAACTTACCATAAAATATATTCATATAATTACCATAATGTTTTTATTTACTTCTATTTCTTTCCTTTTTAATGTAAACCGTTATTTATCTTCTTTTTCATTGCAGTCTATTCAAAACATGAATTAGTTTCTGAAAACAATTCAACACAATGTTATCCCTATGGTGTGCTTTTTACTTATAATAAAAGGGAACACTTGAGATTGGTACTTGCTGTATTTATTAAAGAATGTCAATCTTAATTTTTGCATTTATGTGTAATAAAATTGGTTCAAGATTCAACTTGTGTTCTTTTTTCTTACCATAATATTTTTATACCATATTTTTATTTTACAAATGTTCTTGCAAACAGGTACATGACATATTTTACCAGGCAATATTTAAGATTGCCTATCATCCAGTGTGGACCATTTATTTTGAAGCATTATAATTATGACAATATATTTGGATATTTTCTTAATTTACTTTGTTGTCTTTGCATTGGCTTTCCAGTATAGCTTACTAGTAATACCAGTAGAAATTTGACTGATGACTGCATGACTCCTAATCTTAAATGGGTTTCTGAAGCATCTTAAGCAAGGCTGATAGAAGATGACTATAAGATTTGGTATCGGCAACTTCCTAATAATTATAATATTAGAGATTACTGAGCACTAAAACTATAATATTTTATCGAGTGCATTGTCAATGATTGCTTCACGAAATCAAGTTAGTGATTGCTACTACAATTACGATATTTTACCAAATGAAGTCATGATTTATCAAATGAATTATGGAAGAACTCTTCATAAAATCAGGTAAGTGATTAATTGCTACTGCAATTATGATATATTATTTTAATGGTCAATGATTGCTTCATGAAATGAGAACGGTGATTGATTATGATATTTTACCTTGAAAAAATTGTACTTGCTGTTACATTCATGATATTAATCAGATACATTGTCAATAATTGCTTCATTAAATTAGGTAAGTAAATGCTGCTACAATTATGATACTGTTCTAAATCAGTTCATTAAAAGGGTCAATATATATATGCTTATACTAACAAGTGCATGGTATATTTGCCATTTTCGAATACCTGTACAGAAATAGTTTGGGGACTTTGTTTTATTCAAACGACGATTATTGAAAGAGGATAGAATGCTGTTGGGGCATATTGAAGATCTGAAGGAAGCTCATTCCGTTCTTTGACGGAAGAAATTTAAAGCATTATATAGTAGAGTGATGTTCTTGTTAGTTTCATAGTATGTCATATATATCCTCCAAATTGCGCAAGCTATACCCTAATGTTTCACCAAAAGGAAGGACAAGAGATGATAGATATTCAGGAGTAAATGTGAAATGTTGATATTAATGTAAAAATTGAATTTAATGTATTTGTGAATTATGATAATTTATGTGCATTGAATTGTCTATTGTAAGATATTTGTTATAACTGTTTTGTTTATTATCATAGGTCCTATATAAATATAAAACCTCATTTAGCGTTTCTGTCACTGACCCTCCCACATGTAAGTGATATGCCCTATTGACTAAAACTTAAACTCTTTCTAAATGTATCAATAACGTTTAAAAGTGCTGTTCTGTATTTTTTAATGAAAAACGTATATAAACCTTAAAATAATTATGACCAATAAACACTTCCTATTCTTTGTGAAAGAAAACGTCTGCATTTGGTTTTATTTACACTGCATATGTATTATAAAAAACATTTTAAATATACAAAAGTCATTGAAGGTGTCAAAAATGAAAAAATTTAGTAGCCTTACACCTCCTCATTCTCCGTTATGGGAGTAGAGTACATTATAGATTTATTTAATCCGATATACAGTTACTTCCCTTTTATATAAATGTGCCATTTGTACTATAGATATTTCTAAATAACAATTTTATAGAAATGTTGTTAATTGTATGTTATTTGAAATATTTATTGTATTCATTTTATTTAAATAGACCAGAAGTAACTGTGAAGACAGGTTAAGATATCCATTAAAAGAAGTAAGTGAAATCTAATTAGCCTCAAAGTTAAGCATAAACTATTATTAATGGTTGTCATTTTTTCCTGACATATTTTTCGTCTGGGCAAAGCTACGTCTTACAAAATCAAAGATCAATTAGACACTTAGAACAAAAAAGTATTTTTTCAAAAGCTTATTGAGGAATATACTGTACTCTGGAATTAATAGAAAATCATATTTTGTGCTATTCTTAGTGATTTGAGTTTTTTGGGTCATTTTTCACAATTAAAACAATTACTGTTTTCTGAAAAAAAAAACAAAAAAAACAAAAACAAAAAAACAGACAGGGGTAAATGATCGGAAATTTTGCAAATATATATCTTGTCACTTGATACTGTCAAGTTACTGCATATATCTGACTGTTTTTAAGGATCATTTCAGGTCTTTAAAGGAGTACCAATTTACATTTCCATAAATCATATTGTAGACAGTCACCATAGACTTTGATGGTGAATGCAAAATTATATATAGTTTAGACTCCACCAGCATGTTAATATACCCCTGTTTTTCTATACAGTATTTTAATATCGATGTCTCTCATGTAAACAATGGATAGTTCCAAACTCAAAATAAGACAACAAATGCATTGTATAAATTCAGCAAGGTACATGTAACAATTAAACTTCACCTTATTCTGTGCATGTAGCACTTTCAGATGGAAACAAGTGACTGGCAGATGGGTAGATCCCTCAATGGTTGTTTAGGAGAATTGTTTCATAAAAAGCTTTGGTCAGATATAAGCTTCAGATGTAAAGACTCGGACCAGCTACCTCAGAACAGTATTCAGGCACACAAGATCATTCTTGCTTCAAGGAGCCCTGTGTATCAGGTATTTATCCAGATTTTTTAAAGATAATATAAGTTAAACGTTTGTATAATACCTCTGACCTTTAATTTTTTCATTTGTAGCACAATCCAGGGGCTTTTTTTTTTGCTTCATAACAGGGGCCTTAAAAAGGTACAGGTAGTCACGATTTATAGAGGATCCCTTCACAGTTCCATAATGCTCTAGGTTCACAAGTGAAAGAAAAGCCACATTTCTTTGATTGCTGCCACAAAACAGTATTACAACAAAATTTCTAAGTACATTGTACGTTTGGCAATGTCACCTTTAAACCCTGAGATATTGATGTTGACAAATTGTGTTGATGTTGTGCTTCTGCTTTCACAATTTTAAGAAAAATTATGTTTAAACTTCAAATAAGTAAGAAAATTGTGCTTTGTTTTTCACAAATCAAAAACACCCAGGCCTCTTCGCAATCTTAGGGAAAAAGCTGTGGTATAATGTATAATAAGATACAACAGATATTAAGTAGTGTAATATGAAAGTAACATTAAATGTCTGTGTTTTAATATTTTTTGTACTGTATTATTTTGCATAAAGTGTAAAGTTTGCATTTGCATTATATTTTTGGATTCCATGTCAATTCCACAAACCTTTATTGGTACATTGTACATGTAATTGTCAAGTTTTATCATATTTACCTGTTGGAAAGTCAGGGTTGCAACCTTCCTGAGTTTTAGAATAGTTATTATAAACAAAATATTCAATATGTTGTACTTAAATTTTTGAAGTGCCTCTGTTATTAACATATGACAACACGAGATCCAAGGTCAAGGTTGTTGTGACACTGAGGCTTGCTTCTTAATCTTAAATGGATATGACTTACATCTTGCAAACTATACATTGTAAGCTGAAAAGAACTGGTTTCTAAGTGACCATTAAACTGTATATTGTTCACTGACATGGGATAATGTTGACTTATAATGGATCTCTTTGTTTTAAATGTTAATCAATTTGTGCCCAGATCAGGTTTATGTTTGTTACACTAGCTGAAAAAGACATAGGAAAAAGCTAAATATACTTCTATGTGAGAGGGGAGCATTTTAATTTCTAAACTGAATAATATTTTACTTTTCAGGCAATGTTTTATGGACCATGTGCAGACACAAATCCAGAAATAGAGTTGTCAGATACTGATTCAAATACATTTAAGCTGTTTTTGAAGTGAGTAATTCATCCACCAACCCAAAGCAAATTATATACCTTACCACTTCTTTTCAGGAAGACATTGTTTGATTGTCTGCCAGTCACATTTTATTAACATTCAGTCACTATAGCCCATAGTCAATACGTTAAAGTCAAGAGACAGTGGCCTTTGAAATATTCTTCTACTTGAATACTGAAGATTCATTGATCCTTACCTTAGATTGTCCCCCTTACCTTGTGGAAGACCTTTATAGGCTTTTGAATTTGTCACTTGTCCAGTTGGTTTTGCTATATCTGTAGAAGACCTATATAATTCTTGGATTTAATTGGCCAATTGCACAGGTGGCAGTGCCACATACTTTGAAAAACTGTTTCAGCTGAGTAACTTGAGTGTCATCTTCAGCTTTCAAACTTCATATGATGGTATTAAGTATTTACAACCTATATAACTTGTTAAGTATTGTCTTTGGATTTACAAGGTCACAGTTATGGACATCATGGCATGAACTTCGAATACTTTTTCCAGTCATTTATTTTTCATTATGGTTATAGTTTTATAACTAAAATGTACTGTTAACAGTAGCAAATCAGTATTTCTGAGTGGTGTAGTTCACATCAACAAAACTGAGTTCTAATCGCAAAACTCAGACTTTCTTTATTGGATAAGAAAATTTAAGAGCCATTTTTTGATTATCAAACAAAAGAAGCCTAAAAGCATCTGGGTAGAATCTCTAATATTTATGTAGTGTGTATAAATATTTTTCACATAACAACTGAATAACATAAAATCATTGTGCATTATTGAATAAACACGTAACAGATAAACATGTATATGCACAAAATTTGAAAGCATATATTTTTTATGTACAGTAAATATTCTTGCATGAGGACTTTGTATGCAGGTGTACATCCAGGGAGAAGAAAACATGCATTTACAAATTAAATTTGGCCATTGTGGCATTATTTTTAATACTTAAATACTCCAGACTCTGGGTGCACTGTGAAAATAGGTGACTGTAATGAGAGCCTTTTTGTGTCGCCTTGAAAAGGTGACATATAGGAGTTACTTTTGTCGGCGGTGTCGGCGGCGTCTGTGTTGGCGTCTGTGTCGTTGTCGGCGTCGTTGTCGGCGTCCCCTAAAGCTTGTCCGGAGCATAACTTGGTCACTATAAATCTGATTGACTTCAAACTTGGTATGCATGCTTCTTTCAATAACGCGAAGTGCAGTGCACAAGGACCGGTACCCTGCAGTTCTTATTTTTTGAGTTATTGCCCTTTGTTAATTTTCATACTTTAAGTTTGTCCGGGCCATTTCTCTTCAACTAAAAAAGCTATGGACTTGAAACTTCATGGGATGATAGATCTCATTATTAAGAAGTGCAGTGCACAAGAATCGGTACTTTGCACTTCCTAATTTTTGAGTTATTTCCCTTTGTTAATTTTAATATTTTATTTTTGTCCGGGCCATTTCTCCTAATGTATAAAAGCCATGGACTTGAAACTTCATAGGATGATAGGTCTCATTAAGAAGAAGTGCAGTGCACAAGAACTGGTACTCTGCATTTCTTATTTTTTGAGTTATTGCCTTTTGTTTATTTACATACTTTAATTTTGTCCGGGCCATTTCTACTTAAGTATAAAAGCTATGGACTTGAAACTTCATAGGATGATAGATCTCATTATTAAGAAGTGCAGTGCACAAGAATCGGTACTCTGCATTTCTTAAATTTTTAGTTATGGCCCTTTGTTAATTTTCATACTTAATTTTTGTCCAGGCCATTTCTCCGAAAGTATAAAAGTTGTGGACTTGAAACTTGATAGGATGATAGATCTCATTAAAAAGAAGTGCAGTGCATAAGAACTGATACTCTGCATTTCTTATTTTTGAGTTATTGCCCTTTGTTGATTTTCTTACTTTATTTTTGTCCTGGTCATTTCTCCTAAAGTATGAAAGCTATGGACTTGAAACATCATAGAATGATAGATCTTATTGATAAGAAGTGCAGTGTACAGAAACTGCTGCTCTGCACTTATTATTTTTTTAGTTATTGCCCTTTGTTATTTTTCATATTTCATTTTTGTCCTGGCCATTGCCCCTAAACTACATTGTTCACAAGGCGACACATCCGACTCGCGGAGTTCTAGTTAGTTTCAAATGACATCACACTTGCTATGAAACTGGTTTCTTTGTAAGAGTAATAAATAAATAAATGAAATACAGAACTACCAACTACCGAATTACAAATATACTTTTATGCAAGAATAGTGCTGATACATCTTTGTTTAAGCATTGGCATCGGTAGAAGCCCTCATATAAAATTTAGTAAGAAAATGATCAAAACTATTATCATAACTAATTTTAACGTTGAAAATATGTTTTCATTTTCTCATGCAAGGACCATGAAAAACTGCATCTCGCATTTTGAAACTAGACCAAAATTGTCACCTAATTCAACTCAACCTTATTCAGTACTTTTTCATATCTCAAATACAAAGTATAGATTACAGTGATTATTGGTCCTGCTTTTTAAACTATTTCAGCTATTTTCTTCACATATGATATGATTTTTATTTTCCAGATATCTGTATACAGACAGTACAGATCTAACAGAAGAATCAGTCCCTGCTGTGATGCAGATTGCTCACAAATATCAGGTTACAAGTCTGCTCACATACTGCTCACAATACCTTATCTCTATACTGCGAGCAGACAATGTCTGTGCTGTACTTGAACTAGCATTGTTTTTTGAGGAAAAGAAACTTGAAGATGAGGCAGTCAAGTTCATTGATGATAATGGTGAGAAGGTGCTCAAATCAGATGGGTTTTATGACTTGCAGCAGACGACACTTGAATACCTTCTCAAAGGAGATACATTTCTGGCACCAGAGAAGTATATTGTAAATGCTGCTATAAGATGGGCTAAAGGCAAATGTAAGACTTTAAATCTTGAAGAAACTGGTCCAAATATCAGAAAAGTACTTGCAGGGGCATTTAAATATCTACGATTTCCAACATTATCAGCTGAAGAATTTTCAAAGCTAACATACAAGCAAGGTCTACTTAGTTTTGAAGAACTAGAGGAGACTATCAGTTATATAACAGGTAATAATAATGCCCATCCATTTCACTCTGTAAGACAGAGAAGGCAAAGAGCTGTCAAATGTCGACCAAAACATATCAGAGAAAACTTCACAGGTCATCTAGAGTTCATTCACTATGTCAATGTTACTACAACTGTTAGGGTGAGATCTAAGGACTTTCTAGTTTTGACCGGTTTTTCAATGTCAGGACTGATCAAAAGCCCAATTGTTCCTGATTTTATAAATCCTAAAACCATGTATACATTGGGGGTCTCTATTTCTAAAAGCCAAGATGGTGAAGATCTGATATTTCCTAAAATGTTCTACAACAATGTTGAAACCCATAAGATGCAAGAGTTCCACCTGGTTCAAAAAGTTGAAATGGAAAAGTCAACTCAGTTGTACTTAATATTTCACATTATGAGTGATCCACACTGTATGGTATTGATTCCAGAGGTGAAACCCTCAACTGTACCGTTCTCACCACCAGAGATCACTGACATTGGACAGGACATTGGTTTTCGGGCACTTGAAGCAACATACATGGACAGCTGGCGATTCATGGACCATATATTGTACGAGTCACCATCAAAAAGATAAAAGTTTTGGAAATTTCAGGTCTTCATATCTAAATAAAATTCAAACCTGTTGTTACAAACCAACTCAGGATAATATTTAATTAGATAAACCATCAGTTGAGTTTCTTTACTCATTATTGGGCATTATTAGATGGTTTTGTTTGACACAGTATACATACATTGATATTGGTTTATAAGTATTCTTTAAATTGATGTGTATTTTTTTCTTCTGATTATTAAATTCATGTGTGATAGTAGCTAAATTAAGAGTCTCTTCCTATTTTTATATGCTGAAAGAATTTCGAGCATATTATGTTATACCCCCTGGCGTCCGTTCGTAGCAATTTGGTTTCTTGAGTATAACTTAAGTTCCATTTGGCCCACAGTATTCAAACTTTATAGGATGATTGTCCATATGTTGAAGACCCCTATCGATTTTGGGGTCACAAGGTCAAAGGTCAAGGTCACTATTACCTTAAAACTGAAAAACTTTTTCACTCAATAACTTAAGTGTTAATCAGCCTACAGCTGTAAAATTATATAGGATGAACAGCCATGTCCAATACATGACCCCTATTGATTTTAGGGTCATAAGGTCAAAGGTCAGGGTCCTAATGATCTTTACACTGAAAATTGTGGTTTCTGGAGCATAACAGGGAAAGACAAGGTTAGAATAAAAACATGATTTCAGAAAAATAATACTATAAATAATAAGTCTGCAAATTTTCTGCCGCCAAATAATAATATTAAACGAATGATAACAAAATTTAAATCGCTAAATCACCGATTTCTACAAATCGGTAAGCGCGGCCATGTTTGTGTATTGGCCGTATAAAAACAGGTGCGCGTGATGTCATTTCCCCACAACTTTAGATTCATGATAAATCTAGTTGAATCGTAAGGAAATATTAATATAATAAAGTATTGATCAGACAATTTAATTTTCACAGAAGGTGTAGAGGAGATTTTTTATGGTTCAAAATACGTAACAATATCAAAAAAATAAAAAAATAATAAAAGATAAAGAAACGTACGGCTAGCCAAAAGTTTTAGCCGTACGTGAGTCACGAACGACTAGCCAGGACGCACTGTATTGTCTAGCCGTACGGCAATTTTCAAAATTATATGGAAGTCGAACGTTATAAAATTGTTGATTTTCATGCTTATCATTTGTTGTTTTGTTTTTATGAATTACTAAATCATTTTTGTTAATTTTAAGCACATGGATCGAATAAAAAATGATCGGAGTGGAATAAATAATTAAAAAGAACATTGAATGAAAAAAAACGGTGAAATGCAAAAATAATTATATAATTTTCAAAACAGTAGATAAATATCGAACATAAAAGCACAGTCAATCAATTAATTAGCCTTAATTAAAACCTATCCAGGGACTGACAATAGAATTTTAGAATGCCTTTCACGGAACATGCAAACTTTCCTTGATACAGTACTGTCGGTAATTGTCGCAATTATCAAGAGCCTAACAACAATCATTTTCAGTGTTTGTTGTTTTTGTTTTTTTCATATAAAAGGTGTCGAAAATTAAACTTAATGAAACAAAAAAGGATTATTATCAAAAATTTGTAAACTATTTCATTTGGTGTAAATGCAAGCAAAGGCTATTTTTTCTCGACATCTTGCGATGACAAAGATCGATATATATAGCGATCAAGGCGATTAATCTCTAAAAAGTTAACACCCAAAGACAATTAATGCTGTTTCTTGGTTAAAATCTTGGCTTAAAGTAATAAAATAACATATGCATTTTCGACTTCCATAAAATTTTGAAAAGTGCCGTACGGCTAGCCAATACAGCGTGTCCTTGCTAGTTGTACGTGACTCACGTACGGCTAAAACTTTTGGCTAGCCGAACGGGCCCGTACGCTGGCCACTTCCATTATAAAAACCCTACTAAAACGTGTTCTTAATAGTACATATAATTAATTTTTTGCAGTTTGATTCTGACTTTCAAATTTAAAGGTGTGAACATATGTTAATTGATGTACACATTTCAAAAATATAAGCAACTCTTTTGAAAAGTAAATTGTTAACATGTCTGTCAACGTATGATGCTGCGAATCGTAATCGTAGCCTAATATTAACTGCAGGCAAATCATTTTTATTGGCTGGTCAAAAATCTTATTTGCATAATTTATTCACACAATTGCTGGTTCTTACTACTTATGTCTAATACTGCGCATTGTCCATTTTAATTGTTCCTAATTTGCACCAAATGCTCCTGTCACACTGTGTACTGACGATTTTTATTGCTACTTGTATGCTTCTGTGCCGACAGACCTTTTGATCATGCACAATGTTGCCCTGATTGGTTAATCACCCTTGTCAAATATTCTAATGACGAAATAGACATCTATTTTTTTACGCTTCATCAGTGAACTGAATGACCTTAGGGGGAATTCGGTTCCACACCTGTCAAATTATACTGTAGTAAATTACAGCACGTCATAAAATAGCAACACATTTTTTTCAGTTACCAATAATCATTTTAAATATTAAGTAGATTTATGATTTTTTGTTTTATTGGATTAAATTTACGGTAGTAGAAATGCGTATCTGTCGGGGAAAGGAATTTGGTAAGTAATATGCGTAATTATAGGGGAATGGGCAACCTGTTGCTGTTGGTACCAGTTTTGACTGGGTGCCTAAATAACTTTACGGACAGTTTTGTTTTCATACGATATAAGTCTGGCTGCCGATTTTCCTGCGCGTTTCTCATTTTTAGCGTCAATGGCGGAAAATCGTGTAAAAGTAAATTTATGGTTTATCTTTGAAAATTAAGCAGTCATTGCTTAAATCATGTGGTGGGATCATCAGCAAGCTTGAATATCGCACAAATGATAATTAATGTCGCGACGTCTTTAATTAATTAATTAAAGCAATTCAGTTCCATATGATGTTTTCATAAATAATATATAATGTACGCAATAAAATTAATAAGTTTTTCATCAAGATATATTTTAGTTGTACCAACGTGTACACCTATACCGGAAGTGGGTATAACACGTCACAATCTCGGTCTCGTCTGTCTCGCGAGAATGACAGAACGCCAAAATGGCAGCGCCCATGAACTTATTTCTCAAGTAAAAAATAGTGTCTTTAAACACGAATTTCTCTCTTATAGGATTGATGTCAATAGGAAAACTGTCATGGTTCCTCTTTTTAAATGATGAATATTTATATTAGATAGACATCAATCCATCCATTCTTATTCCTTTAAGTTCCATTTGGCTCACAGTGTTCAAACTTCATAGGATGATTGTCAATATTGAGTAGAAGAATTTTTGGGTCAAAAGGTCAAAGGCCAAGGTCACTATTACCTTAAAACTGAAAACAGTTTTCGCTCAATTACTTAAGTATTAACCACCCTACAGCCTTAAAATTATATAGGATGAACAGCCATGTCAAATTCTTGAACCTATAATTATATAACTTAAGTTCTATTTGGCCCACAGTGTTCAAACTTCCTAAGATGATTGTAAATATTGAGTAAAAGACCCCCATTAATTTTTAGGTCACAAGGTCAAAGGTCAAGGTCACTATTACCTTAAAACTGAAAACATATTTCGCTCAATAACTTAAGTATTAATCAACCTATAGCTGTTAAATTTTATAAGATGAACAGCCATGTCCAATACATGACCCCTATTGATTTTAGGGTCATAAGATCAAAGGTCAGGGTCACAATGACCTTAACACTGAAAGTTATGCTTTCTGGAGCATAACACAAGTTCCATTTGGCTTACAGTGTTCAAACTTCATAGGATGATTGCTTATATTGAACAAAAGATCCATATCTATATTGGGGTCACAAGGTCAAGAGTCAATATCAAATGACCTTATTATTGTTAACAGTTTTACAACTGTCAAACCTCATAGGATGATCACTTATATTGAGTACATTAATTATATGTCCTAAAAAATTTGCTTATCCCTGGCGTCTTTCCGTCCATCTGTTGTAGCATTTTTACAAAATAACAACTTGTACGTACACACGCATGTACACACACACGCACACGCATATATATAAATAGGTAAGGAGGTAATACTTTATTTAATTCCAATGTCTTGTAAATGCTTCATCTTTACTAAAAAAGAAAAACACTTTCAGGCATTATAATGCTCCGCCTAGCGGTGCTCTTGTTTATAATTATTAATTCTTTGATGGCAGTTACAATTACAATTTCTGAGATATTTAAAACTTTTTATTCCAAAATATGATGAATTTATTATGTTCATGTCTTTACATCATATTTCTATCATTCAAAGAAAATCATCAACTTGTCACTGCCACTTTGTCATTTCAATGATCTGTAAATAGAAAGGAATAAAATAATGAATTAAGCAGAATCTCCCTGTTTCATTGATATTGATATAACTTTTAATTATGTTATAGTAAAGGATATAAAGTATATTGAAAATATCTAGATTTTGATATTATACAATTTTTGACTAGTGAGCTATTTAATATGATGTGATTTTCACCGACAGATGACATTTTGACCGAGAGGATAGGATTTAGTTTATGTGTTACATGTTTTTTTTAATGTTACAATTGCTTGGTGAACTTTTTATTTATGAACTACTTTATTATTTATGGACTACTTTATTATTTATGGACTACTTTATAATTTATGGATTACTTTATCATTTATAGACTAGAGTGTTATTTATGGACTAGAGTGTTATTGGTGACTAATAGATATCAGATATCTGTTGTATGTATTATATGTATTTAGATATAAGTTTTTTATCACATGGCACTGCTTGTTTACATTGGATTATAGTGCTCATACATTCCTTTTTAATGCACATGTTTAATATAAAATATCACAATGCCATTGTGCTGTGTACATATACATAGGGTTATTTTGGCATTTTCGTTTGTTCAATATGTTGTTTTAGTCTCATATTTATTTCAAATGTATTGGACCAATGTAATAGAATTTTACTCTTATTTGATTTTTACTGTGTGGATTGATTTTTGTGAAATGTTCACAATGCATACATTGTAGTGTTATTCAGTTTGAAAGAATATTTGTTGCTGATTAAAAACTGACACTTTATTGTTGTTAATTTTTTTTACAATTTATGCAATGCATTGTACATGTACTGAAATTTTAACTTACATGTTTGACATATGGAACTTTGAATATAACTTTCAAGATTTGTGTACCAATTTGCTCTGGACTTCTTACTTAAGTTCAAAATTGCAGATCATTCCCTCACTCAGTTTTTTTTCAGAGTAATCACTTGAATTGTGTAAAATTACCAAAAAAGAAAAATATGTGACTGCTTTTAACACAAATTGAGCTAAAAATGTGCGCTTAAAATTTTTTTTCAATTTAGTTCAGACAATGTTTCTTTTTTGTCTTTTGCAAAGTTTTCCATTTTTAATTGCCCAATTTGATAGATGCAAGTATTTCAATTTTTTTAAAAGACATTTGGACCTCAAAAGAGCACCTTTAACAATTAAAATGCAGTATATATACATGTACAAGTAAATGTATATACATATTAATAGACTGACCTTTCATATGTTACCTTAAGATCCATTTGTTATGTTAATATATTAAACACAATATTTTCAGATAAACAAAAAGACTTGAAATTAGTGAATACATGTTTGGTATCAGAAATCAAAAAACTTAAATAAGTTGTTAAAAAAGCTTTTTGAGATGTTCAATTTGGTCAATAAATATACAAATATGTATTAGTTTTATTAATATCTTATAAAAAGTTTTAAATTTGATAATTCTATTTTCTTTTTTCTATAAAAATTCATTTTATGGCTTTAAAAATTTATTTTTCAAAATAAATACGTTGAATATGTTTCCTTTTTGTAAGTCTAGTTCAAAATGTAAGTTTCAAAATCTTTTCTGCCTCTTTGAGTTTTTGATTAGTGAAAACTTTTCCCCCATTATACTTTTATTATAGAGTTTGGTAATATGATAATGATTATACATGTATTGAAATATATGTGGTATTTGTTCACATATGTTATATAGAGTCTTTTAACTTACATTGATGAAGTTGGAACTTAGTTATAATGGATATTCATTTCATTGTTACTAACATTTTGCTATTAAATATTGAAATTAGTCAGACATGCTGTCTCGTATGACAGCTTTTGGTTTATTGTGTCGCCTGAAAAGGCAACATGTAGGGGTTACTTTTGTCGGGGGCGTCAGCATAGATGTCAGCGGCGGCATTGTCAGTGTCCCCTGTAGATTGTCCGGTGCATGAGTCAGTCATTATAAGTTGGATTGACTGGTACTCTGCACTTCTTATTTTTTGAGTTATTGCCCTTTGTTAATTTTCATATTTTATTTTTGTTCGGGCCATTTACTATAAAAACTGTGGACATGAATGTTCATAGGATGATAGATATCATTGAGATGAAGTGAACTGCACAAAAACTGGTACTTTGTACTCCAGGGTATTTGAGTTATTGCCCTTTGTTTATTTTCTAACTTTATTTTGTCCCAGCCATTCCACCTAAACCATAAAAGCTATGGACTTGAAACTTCATAGATCTCATTGAAAAGAAGCGCAGTGCACAAGAATAGGTACTCTGTACTTCATTATTTTAGAGTAATTGCCCTTTGTTAATTATAAAACTTTATTTTTGTTCCTTTTTTAATTTTCTTACTAAATAGGCTTTGTCCAGAGCATAAATTGGTCACTATAAGTTTGATTGACTCCAAATTTAGTATATAAGCTTTTTTCATTGACCTGAAGTGCAGTGCTTAAGAATCCATCCCAGAGTACTCCATTTGATCTGTCAGTGTAAAACTTTTCTGTGGTATTTTTATTTTTGATAATATAACAGTTTTATTAATCCTGATGTAACATTGTTACAATCAGTTCAAATGGAAAGGTACATGTACATTGTAAGAGCAAGGTTTCAGAAGAAAATGCCGAAGTGACAGCTATATTGTTCACAAGGCGACACATCCGACTCGCAGAGTTCTAGTATATTATGTTCAATAATGTTAGTACATTGTTTAACATTAAATTTTGTGTTCTGAAATATATACAATGTACATTGTAATATGATTTTACGTGGGCATTTATGTGTTCTGATATACATTGTAATAATAGATTCATATGGGCATTAAATTGTGTGTTCTGACTTGCAATTTTGAAGTAATAAGCTATTTTACATGGGTAATTGTGTGTAGAAATAATCAATTTTAAATCAGCGTTTAATTTAGGTGTGCACTTTAGATTAACATTATATTTACATGTGCATTTAATTGTGTTTTCATATACATTTACGCTGTAATGATAGAAATTTTATGGACATTTGATTATATGTTTTGACTAAGAAAGAAAAGTGCTAGTTTATAAGATTTCTTTAACATTCCTGTTTCATTTTACCTCTTCGTGGTTATTTATTTACATGTTTAACAGGTGTTTTATCAAGTCCTTAGAAAATTTTGATATTACCAACTATAAAAGTTAGACATTGGTTTAATTGACACGTTGGCATACTGTATAAAACATATAATGAAATAAATGGTTGTGATTTGTAAACTAACTTACGTGTAGTCTATTTTTCCATCGGCTGTCTTGTAGTCTGTAAGCATGTTGTCGAGTAACTCTGTATCTGTAGTTGTCAGTTCTATTCCAGCATCCTATTGTAAAAAGTTCTTATTAGTTTAGTTTAAACTTTAATTGTAAAGTTTTAACTGCTGGAACCACAACGTCCTTATAATTAGCATTTGTTACTCATGTATAGAGCCAGGTCAGTCTGTATGTCCGTATATTTTGACCAGGCTCTTTACTGCTGGTAGCTCTATACTCGTACTTAAACATTGAATGAACTGTTAAAACTTAAAACAGACATATCCTTTTATACAGAAACATCAAGATCTAGTTTAAATCTAATTTCACATTCGACATTTATTAAAGATTGACATGTATTATGTCCCAGAAACGGTTTTCTTTTATTCCTGAAAAGCATTTTGTTTTAGGAGTTTTAAGAAGTTTATACAGTAATTCTGATTTTATAAATTGTGAAAAATATCACAATGATGTGAATATAGGTCGGATCGACAATATATGTATTAAAAAATAAAACAACATTGATTGGATTTTACACAAAGGCTTATCTAAGGGACAAGAAGTCCCCTAGCAACTTTATTTTCGTTTCATCAGATGTTAAGAATCTGTGTCAGTTTTCGTCAGTAAATGTATTGAATAATATTCTGGGTTTTTCTTACAAAAAATAATAAAAGGCTTTTAACTTACGACAAATCCTGAAAGGAAATCCGCCCTTGAAAGTTTTTTCTCCTTCCCTTTATCACACGTAACCATCGTATCATAGAGAGGTATATTGTTTGTGTCACAGTATACTTTTATAATCCCCATTATATTGTCCGGGGTCACTTCACTCATTGCTGTTCCTAGAAATTTGGCTGTAAATGTAAGAATAGCACACAAAACGTTAAAATAGGGAAAACAGAATTCATAAAAAACGCCTCAAACGACAAAATTGATAATGCTGCTGGCTCGGTTTGATTGAGCCTGTTTATGACGGTACTGAAAAATGCTAAGAAAAGTCCGCGCCCCCTAGCACCGGCTTAAGAAGCATTCAACATGAAACATGAACTGTTAAAATTTAGAATTTCGGAACATCCATAGATGTGAACAGAAAAGTACATTTAGTTTTATTTTGAAAATAGACATTATTTATCAACCCCGTATATGACAAAGAAAAACTAATTTGTAAAAGGTTTTAACCTTTAGAGTGAGATAAAGTTAGGCCTGACTTGTCATGGAACATTCAAGGTGTACTTGAAAACACTAACTTTTTAACTGTTAAATAATAGTTTGACTGATTAATCCCATTTAATTTAAAAGAGTTTTGGTTAATTTCTCCCTTCACAATCAAAGTACATTATATTTTGCTGTAAGTATTAACGATATTATGATTCAAATTATTACAGGCATTTGTGCAAATGATTCTCAAGAAAAACAAGTTCATTTAAATGAAGTCAGGTTAAATCTGTATGTCATATTACTGTTGATATTAACTTTCTATTTGAAGATATTGCCAAATAAAAGAAATACGAATAAACACAAACACTACATCTGATATTCTTAAATAAAACAAATGACATGCTAAGATGATTATTCTTATAATTGTAATATAATTGGACATTTAGTAAGAATGATAATATAAACACGTATTTACTTTGTTTCTTTGGTTTTGGAACTATTACGTAGTCACTCATCACAGAGCCATGTTCTATTTGTATGTCGCGGGACTGTTGCAGCTCTTCTTTCATGGTCCTCAGTTCTTTGTCTATTTCAATACCCTTTAAATAAAAATATTAAATATTGTATAATACTTTAGTAAAGGCTATGTCTCAAAGGCTGTATGTTACAAGTATAAATAAGACCTCATTACAACTATGGCAATGAAACCTATGTTTTCTAACCGTCTCTGAGGCGAACCCGGTGTTTTCGGCAGTTAAGAAAGTGGGTGTTTCAAGTCCACCAACTTTCAGTAAAATTGTTAACATGCTAATGTTTAAAATTTCCATTTTCATAAATGAAGTGGACTTTTGTTTTTATTTAAAACCTTATCACTCTAACATATTTTGTTACATGCCAACGTGAAATGATTATCATTGAAAGGTGACTATGCTTTTCAGCATGTTTGTGCACAAAATGCAAAAGATACTGACTCAATGAGATATATTTCAAGAGGTAAAGTTTAGTTTCTAGAGTTCAGAAATAAATTGATTTTAACTGTTACATGTATATTAAAGTCAGTTCTCGCTCATTTTATGATGACAAGTCATGTTAACTTAAATGTTGATATAATGGACGAGAAAATATATATTTCTCTAGCTATTGATTCAAAGAATGAATTTCAAAATTACTATCAAGATGCTGATGGTCATTATTGAACTTAGTCAATGTAAATGTATACAGTTTCTGTCTATCAGAATTTGACTGTTCTAATAAAAACGCCCAACGTGGGGCTCGAAGTTTGCATACCACCTCAGATATTTTTATATTCTATTTACATCTGGCTTTGAAACAAGTTAATATTTTATACCCTTCTTTGAGAGCATAAATGGACTCTCTTCAAGATCTATAACTGTAACATGGTTTAAAGAAAAAATTTGCCCTTTTGTTAACTTAGAAAATTTTACATTATCAAGGCTTTTTTACTGTCAAGCACTAAGAATAGTCGAGCGTTGCTGTCCTACCGACAGCTCTTGTTTAAAAAGGTATCTTTTAACTCATCATGATATACGGAAGTTCTGCAGTCCTTTGAACACATATCAATTAAACCAATGTCACATTGTGCTTGTATCTCGTCTGTGTGGCGCAATCGGTTAGCGCGTTCGGCTGTTAACCGAAAGGTTGGTGGTTCAAGCCCACCCAGGGACGATTTTTTCTCTTTTATTCTTCGTAAAATTCTACATGATAAAATACAAATTTTCTATTTCAAAAATCAGCATGTTGAAATATAAACAAGTCAAGTTTAAAAATAAACGATGATTGTATCCCAATCGATTAGAGTCTTTGACATTTAGTCGGTTGCCATTTTTCTAGCCCACCGTAGGATCTTTTATCTTTGTGATATGGCTGCCTTTCTCCTAATTAAATGGCTAATACGACGCAAACACTTGAAGAAAAACACACCTCAATATGTGTAAAAGAATTAGGCAAAGATATACTTTGTAAAAAAGTAAAGACGCCCAACGTGGGGCTCGAACCCACGACCCCGAGATTAAGAGTCTCGTGCTCTACCGACTGAGCTAGCCGGGCTTAATACACTTTCTAAATCGGACAATGGCCTGCGCTTCAAGCATGCCTGAGCTATACTTTTTAGCTCGACTATTCGATAAGAATAAGTAGAGCTATTGTAGTCACCCTAACGTCGGCGTCGGTGTAGCCGTAACCACTTTTGTTAAAGTTTTTGTAATACCTCAAATATTTTCAAAGTCCATTGACATATGGCTTTGAAACTTTGCACACTTGTTGACCAACATCACCCTAACCTGTAGACTGGAGGAGGTAATTGTATCAAGCATTTTGACAGAATTATGCGCCTTTTTCGACTTAGAATTTTCGTTAAAGTTTTTGTAATACCTCAAATATTTTCAAAGTCCATTAACATATGGCTTTGAAACTTTGCACACTTGTTCACCATTATGACCCCAACATGTAGACAGAAGGAGGTAACTGTATCAAGCAATTTGACAGAAATATGCCCCTTATTCGACTTAGAATTAAGATTTAAGTTTGCATACCACCTCAGATAATTTCATATTCTATTGGCATATGGCTTTGAAACTTTGCACACTTGTTCACCAACATGACCCTAACCTGTAGACAGGAGAAGGTAACTGTATCAAGCATTTTGACAGAATTATGCCCCTTGTTCGACTTAGAATTTACATTAAAGTTTGTATACCACCTCAGATATTTTTATATTCTATTGACATCTGGCTTTGAAACAAGTTGAAATTTTATACCCTTCTTTGAGAGCATTATTGGACTCTCTTCAAGGCCTATAATTGTAACATGGGTTTAAAGAAAAAAATTGCCCTTTTGTTAACTTAGAAAATTTTACATTATCAAGGCTTTTTTACTGTCAAGCACTAAGAATAGTCGAGCGTTGTTGCCCTATGACAGCTCTTGTTTAAAAAGGTATCTTTTAGCTAATCATGATATACGGAAGTTCTGCAGTCCTTTGAACACATATCAATTAAACCAATGTCACATTGTGCTTGTATCTCGTCTCTGTGGCGCAATCGGTTAGCGCGTTCGGCTGTTAACCGAAAGGTTGGTGGTTCAAGCCCACCCAGGGACGATTTTTTCTCTTTTATTCTTCGTAAAATTCTACATGATAAGATACAAATTTTCTATTTAAAAAATCAGCATGTTGAAATATAAACAAGTCAAGTTTAGAAATAAACGATGATTGTATCTCAATCGATTAGAGTTTTTGACATTTAGTCGGTTGCCATTTTTTCTAGCCCACCGTTGGATCTTTTATCTTTGTGATATGGCTGCCTTTCTCCTAATTAAATGGCTAATACGACGCAAACTGAAAAACACACCTCAATATGTGTAAAAGAATTAGGCAAAGATATACTTTGTAAAAAAGTAAAGACGCCCAACGTGGGGCTCGAACCCACGACCCCGAGATTAAGAGTCTCGTGCCCTCCGACTGAGCTAGCGGGCTTAATACACTTTCCTTAATCGGACAATGGCCTGCGCTTCAAGGGATGCCCGAGCAATTTTAGCTCGACATTCGATAAGAAAGTAGGCTATTTAGCACCTAACGTGGCGTCGGTGTAGGGCCTAAACCACTTTTTTTAAAGTTTTTGTAAATACCTCAAATATTTTCAAAGTCCATTAAACATAGGCTTTAAAATTTTTCCCAAACTTTTTACCATCTCCCCCCAACCCTGTAACAGGGGGAGGAATTTATAAAGCATTTGACAAATTACCCCCTTTTTCGATTTAAATTTTTTTTTAATTTTTTTAAAAACCCTCAAATATTTTAAACCATTCATTGGCTTTGAAAATTTTGCAAAATTTTTACCTCTGACCCCAAATTGCCCCGGGGGAAAATGTAACATGGTTTTAAAAAAAAAATTTGCCCTTTTGTTAATTTTTGAAAATTTTAACATTATCAAAGGCTTTTTTACTGTCAAGCACTAAGAATAGTCGAGCGTTGCTGTCCTACCGACAGCTCTTGTTTAAAAAGGTATCTTTTAACTCATCATGATATACGGAAGTTCTGCAGTCCTTTGAACACATATCAATTAAAAACCAATGTCACATTGTGCTTGTATCTCGTCTCTTGTGGCGCAATCGGTTAGCGCGTTCGGCTGTTAACCGCAAAAGGTTGGTGGTTCAAGCCCACCAGGGACGGTTTTTTTCTCTTTCATTCTTCGTAAAATTCTACATGATAAAATACAAATTTTCTATTTCAATAATCAGCATGTTGAAATATAAACAAGTCAAGATTCAATATAAACGATGATTGTATTTCAATCGATTAGAGTTTTTTGACATTTAGTCAGTTGTCATTTTTCTAGCCCACCGTAGGATCTTGTATCTTTGTGATATGGCTGCCTTTCTCCTAATTAAATGGCTAATACGACGCAAAAACTTGAAGAAAAACACACCTCAATATGTGTAAAAGAATTAGGCAAAGATATACTTTGTAAAAAAGTAAAGACGCCCAACGTGGGGCTCGAACCCACGACCCCGAGATTAAGAGTCTCGTGCTCTACCGACTGAGCTAGCCGGGCTTAATACACTTTCTAAATCAGACAATGGCCTGCGCTTCAAGCATGCCTGAGCCATACTTTTTTAGCGTCGGCGTCGGTGTAGGCGTAACCACATTTGTTAAAGTTTTTGTAATACCTCAAATATTTTCAAAGTCCATTAACATATGAGCCGCGTCATGACAAAACCAACATAATGGGTTTGCGAACAGCATGGATCCAGACCAACGCGGCTCATATGGCTTTGAAACTTTGCACACTTCTTTACCATCATGACCCCAACCTGTAGACAGGAGGAGGTAACTGTATCAAGCATTTTGACAAAATTTTGCCCCTTTTTCGACTTAGAATTTTCGTTTAAGTTTTTTTAATACCTCAAATATTTTCAAAATCCATTAACATATGGCTTTGAAACTTTGCACACTTGTTCACCATCATGACCCCAACATGTAGACAGCAGGATGTAACTGTATCAGCATTTTGACAAAATTATGCCCCTTTTTCGACTTAGAATTTACATTTATTTTTGCATACCACCTCAGATATTTTTATATTCTATTGGCATCTGGCTTTGAAACAAGTTGAAATTTTATACCCTTCTTTGAGAGCATAATTGGACTCTCTTCAAGGCCTATAACTGTAACATGGTTTAAAGAAAAATTTTGCCCTTTTGTTAACTTTGAAAATTTATCATTATCAAGGTTTTTTACTGTGCAAAGCACTAAGAATAGTCGAGCGTTGGCTGTCATCCGAAGCTCTTGTTAAAAAAGGTATCTTTTAACTCATCATGATATAAGCGGAAGTCTGCAGTCCTTGAAACAGCATATCAATTAAACCAATGTCAGCATTGTGCTTGTATCTCGTCTTGTGGGCGCGCAATGCGGTTAGCGCGTTGGCTGTTACCGAAAGGTTGGTGGTTTAAAGCCCACCCAAGGAGATTTTTTCTCTTTTATCTTCGTAAAATTTATCATGGATAAAATACAAATTTTCTATTTTCAAAAATCAGCAATGTTGAAAATAAAACAAGTAAAGATTAAATATAAACGATGATTGTA